CTTGAGTTTGATTACTATTTTCTTAACAATACTTTCATGGTATTTAAGTGGGTATTGAATAAGTTGTATGCATTCTAGTTGAGAGCATGATGAAGGACAGAACTGATTTATGCAACTATTATGTAAAATACACATTAATAACCTATATTTACAAGTTTTGGTTGCAGAAATTCATTTATTTTCTTCAACTTTAGGAGCATCTATTGACACATAATCCATTAGTCAGCCTTAACCTCTAAGTCCAATTAAAAGAAAAAATAATTTAAACCTTATCACAAAGTAAATTTAGTTGGATAATCAACAATAAAAGATTGTGAATTAGAAACAATAGGGAAAAAAAATATTTTCCTGGTTGTAATTGTTCCAATTTAGGTACAGATATATATGTGTGTGTATATGTATATGTATTTATATACATATATATGTATTTATATACGTGTGTGTGTATATATATATATTTCACACATGTAAAGAGAAAGAAAAGGGTTGCTTAAGTAAGCTATCCCTTTAAATAGCTACTCCCTATCTAACCATGAGACACTAAACCTGGCCAGGGAAAGCTGTAGGAAATTACTTACAAGCTATACAGACAAATTTAAGAGGAAAATTTGCCCCACTGTTTCATTTCCATAAAGCATGATCCTTATAGTCTTCAGTGACATTTCTACTTTTCCCCAAATTTCTATTATTACAATTGTTTCACTTCTTCCATCTCCCTTTTCTTTGAATAGCTTGTCAAACTCTAGTAAAAATAAAAAGGTAGCACAAAAAGGGGAAGAATGCATTTTTCTCTGGGTGCTTGACACAAATACCATCATTTAAGATCTCACTTTATAGGTCTAGTATGAAACACATTAGAAAAAGACTACAAAGTAATAAATGATATTCTTTGGAGTTTATATCAAAAGTTTCATAAGCAGTTTTGTCTTTAAATTGCTAAAATCTGAATCTGTTCATGACTGATGTTTTCAAATGGTCATTATTTTCCATTCCTTAAATGTGAAATTAAAAATTTTATGAATCTCTGAGCATTATTTTCCAGAATATATGATCCTATGCTGTATTTAAAAGATTCAGATTAAAATTTGTGAAATAATACTATTAGCAAAAAAGTTAATGAAGAGGGTGCCAGAAATAAAAAAACTAATGAGTTGAATTTCCATTAAGAAAATTCAATTACTTTTCACTCTGCAGAAGTTGTTAAGCTATCGAGACATTTTTAATATTTAGCCAGTCCCCTGGCATTACATCATCCCACATTTTCCCCTACAGAGAAACCTAAATTTGTTCTACCAGGCCTATCCACAGGAGAGCTTTTCATTCAATAAGAAAAAAGGAGATGAACTGTTACGCAAATAGCCCGATCACTTTTCATGTTCCCGGTGAATGAGGATGGTCGGTACCCAGTACAAATCCCTAAGAGCCTCTTCATATAAGACCAGCTGTGAAATAGTCAAAGAAAACTTAACAGATGGTTTTATGATGCAAATCATTCCTGTTTTTAGGCATATAGTGTGGGTCTTCTCAACTTTGGCAATATGCCCATTTTGGAGCAACTCATTCTTTGTTGAGTAGAGTTGTTGCCCTGGGCCTTTCACAAGGTTTAGGGCCATCCCCACCCACATCACAACCTCAGCACTGCCATACACTGGGTGCCAGTAACATATGCTCAGCCTCCACCAACTGCAACAACCACAAATATCTCCAGACATTGCTGAATGCTTCCAACGGGCGCCAAGTTGCCCACTTGAGAACTGCAAATGCAAAGCACGCCTCCTGTACACTAAAGAAATGCAAGCTACTCTTGAGTAGGGTCCTATATACTTTAGAGAAGACATCCTCTCCTCTGATATTGGCTCTTCTTCTCTCAAGAGTCCAGGAAATCTTCTCGAGTAGAATACATTCTGAGGAATGTCCATAGAAGAATCACAAATCTTAGAGAAGCAGGAGGCCTAGAGGTGATGTAAATATGAAGCTGACTGTGAACTAGAATGATGACAGCTTAACTGAATACATCCAAGGAGTGAAGGTGGCCAACGACATCGAGCAGGCTAGCTTACAATGGTTTCACGATAGAGCACAGAAATTTATATCCATAGCCCAGCATTAGGAAGTTGATGCTTATATAGCAGATATTTTGGGGGGGGATATATAAATATATGCATGTATATATATATTTGTTAAAATTTTAATTGCAGTAAAGCTCTTTAGCACAGCAATGATACATGAAGAATGTTCATTAATGTGCAAGTGCTAGCTACTATTCTTATTGGTAGCATTGTACATTTTAGTACAAATGTATAGCTCATTATACATTTAAACATAGGAATATTTCTTCTAGGATACAGGAGTGTTGTCTCTCTCTCTCTCTTTCTCTCTCTCTCTCTCTCTCTCTCTCTCTCCCTCTCTCTCTTTCTCTCCTTCCCTCCTTCCCTCCCTCCCTACAGAAAAGTTCTATTCATCTTGAAAGGCTCAACTCAAAGGCCAACTCCTCTTAGAGGCCTCCTGTAAGGCCCCTCACCTCCCACATGGATTAATTTCCCCTCGTTCTTATTTCCACGGCACTTAGCGCATGCTTACCTCATAGTGCTTAGCACTTTGTATTATGGTTATTAAAGTCTGTGTGAGGCAGGCCCACCACAGCCCTGGGCCTCCAGGCTAGGAGCGTTCGAGGTCTTATTTACTCGGCCTTGTGTCCTCTGTGCCTGCTTAACAAAAGCATGCATGCGGGGCTCAGCTGGATGATCTGGAAAACTCAATCATGTAGAAACGCCATTTCCCAATAATGTCAGATATATGAGGTGTGACTGAAGAGTAATGACTTATATATAGAATCCGGGGCTGTCAGTTTTATATCAGAATATTAAATGAGTGAAATGATACAAAATGTGTTAACATTTTACCAAGAAAAACAAAGATTTGGATAACCTTCAAAGATTCAGATAAATATCAAAACACTCCTTTAAATCGCAGGCATTTAACTAAGGGCGGGCATGAATGAAGAAGGTGGGAGACTGTGAGTCTTACTGAGTAAGTGGGAAAAGACATGACACAATGCATCTGTAAGTTTTTATTAAATTTGATTCCATAACACTCTCAAAGAACTCATAGACTTGTTGGCTAATGGATCAGATGATGTCTTAAATATGAAGGATTTATCCATAAAACATGAGGCTAAAGTACAGCAAGGATCCCACCTACGTACTCCTAGGCAACACTTTGGGAAAGTGAAATTTACCTGTGTGAAAATACATTTGCATTGTATTTATTTAGGTTCAATCAATAAATACATTCCATGGGCAGAGATCAGGTGTACCAAAGGATCCTCTGAAAAATACTTAAGATGTTAAGTATCCCAGTACAATTTAGCATGCATAAAAACATGTGTGGAAGACTACATGAACATAATTCAAACATTTTAGGATGTGTTCATGAAAGTAGTAGCCCAAGGATGAGTAAAAATATTTGGTATATTAATTCAGACCAAGCAAATCAGTAGTGCTGAGGACAAAAAGAAATGGCTTGAGACATTAAAAAGCATATGGTCTGAGTGTGGAAGCCAACAAAGAGAATTATAAATAAAACTTTTTAAATTATGAAAATATCATTAAATAATATTTTGAGTGCTGCTTTCAATTTTTATCTCTCAATTTAAAAAGATGTCATCATTTTTAGCATAAAAATAATGTATGAGCATATTTACTATACATAGTAGGTCCTGTCTCTGAAAAAATAATATTTGTAACTTCATACCACTGGGTTAAGAATTTTCAAAAATGTATCTTACTCAAGACGAGTAGCTAGACAGTTATTAAAACTGAGAAAGGCGTGCAAGTCTTTCTGCCTTGAAATTAGTGTTCTTAAGAATAGCAATGCACACAGATCAGAATTTATTAAAGTGCATCCTGCTTAACCAGTATTCCACAGGATATTAATAAACACTGTACACTCAAAGACTATAGACAGCTAATATTGAGGAATACTAGACAAGACAGAATTAATGGGAGTTTCTTAACCACAAAGCCTAAGAGTATGAACATCCTAGAGAATTTCTAACAGGCAGGCTTTTCAAATGCATTTGACATTAGAAGTTTTTAAATTTTCATTACGTGTTCTGAGGGAGTAATGTTCCTCTGTCTTCTGAAAGAACAAGAAAAATCTAAACAACAGGAAGTAAAAACAGGTATTAAGGAGAGCAGGATAGATGGGACAGGACACTGTCCTGAAGTATTTGTCTCATCAAAGAGGAACATAGTATTTCACCAAAGGGAATCTCTTGGTCTGATAAGTGGAAGTTGCTGGGAGATGGATATCACCACAATATAGGATTTCGATGGTGTGGTGTGTGTCTGTGTGTACCATACGTACACACACCCATTAAAGGTGTTACCCAAGTGGTCTCTGCATTGGGTTAAAAGTCAAAGAAGACCTCTAAGGTCCCTTTCTAGCACTTTGGTTTCATGGTTCATTTGTAGCAATTGTCAATAAACTGTTCATAATTTAGTGTTTTAGACTAACTGCATTTTGTGAAATTCTCAATTAAGCATCTTTAGGATACATATATGGGTTATCTGTCAGAACCTGTTGCAAATAAAACCAAAATATACATGCCACTCTGTGCACAATTTACTCTGCTACCACAGAGTTTAAGGCAGCTCTTCTCTGTCTTATAGAAAGCCAAGTGATCTAAATCTTTTTACCTGAAAAGTTCACAGGGGCAGAATAAGATGCAAGTATTTGGGGGGGAAGGGAGTGAAGAACAAGTTTACATAATGAGACAAAAGACCAAGAAAGCACATACGGGAAGCATCGCTTGGTGCACAGACTGGTGTGAAGGGTACGAAAATCTGTGGGCTGTAGAAGGAATTTTTCATACCAGTCACTCACTTTGCAATGTGTCTTCATCTGGCTCTGAATATCACTGTATGTATGTTTGGTAGATGATCCCATGGCCTGTAAATGACTTTTGCTAGGATAGTAAGTTAGATAGAAAGCTATACCTATGCGTGTACTCCTTGATGATCTGATATATGCTAATCTGAATCGTTTCATTTTCAAGTCGATTAGTGCTCTTGTCTTTGTAGATCCGGAATTCAGCTGCTGTCACTGCTTCTCCGTGTGGAATTTGAGTCAGATCAAACCGAAATTCCTTATAATGTCTTCGCTGGTGAGAAAAATCCTTGTCTCTTTCAACTAAAAAAAAAAATGAAGAAGAAAGGAAAAAGTTAGCCCTTTATAAAAACATGGAAATGAATGGTCAATTCTCCACTTTTGAAAATGAAAACAAACAAGCATGTCAGTATAAAACTGGAAAACACAAAAACCACAGACTCCAGAATGTTTCCAGGTAAAGGAAACGCCTCACACCTTTCAGTTCAAGGCTATCCAAGTGTTTTTAAAGTGAAGGCGCTGAAGTGACTGCCAGTAGGTACCGGGTACCAGAACACAGAGGGTTTCATACAGACACCAGAAAGATGGAAGAGAAACCTCCAGAAGTCTCGGGTGAGATTTAGCATTGCCACAGGGGGAGAATAGGGAGGAGTCTAGGGACCTGCTGAGATGCAAGGACTGTGTTTGTGCCATTTTGTAAGTCAGGGAGAAAAGAAAACTGAATAAATATGAATGTGAATAAAATGAATATAAGAATAAATTAATTCCATTTTAGGAAACATTACTATTCTGATTCAAATTAATTTTTAGCTGATATATAAAAGCAAAAATTGTACATTTTAATAGGGTATTATGTGATGTTTCAACACATGCATACATTGAATAATGTTTACATGTTAAATATATCTCCTCAAACTTTTAGCATTTCTTTATAATGAAAACACTCAAAATCCTTTCTCTGGCACTGTGAAACAGACAGTATGCGTCATCCATAGTCACTCTTGTGGGAAGTCATTTCTACCTAATTCTAATTTAGTGCCCATAAGAAAGTTTATTTCTAAATTGTCATACCCAGAAGAGTGTTTATCTCAAAATGTAATATTCTTCCTCATCTTTTTATGGCACTTTTATAAATTATTTCCCCTGGTGAAGCATAAAAATCTCCCTTTGTCTTCTGTCTTCTTATTCAGAATTAAGTTTTCCCCTTTAACTACTTTTTTATTTCTCCCAAATGAAGTTAGAGAACTACTTTCTTGAGTATATTAAGAAATACTGGTGGATTTAGGACAGTAGGTGTCAGGTATATTATTGTATAATACTGCTTTGTAAAATGTCATTTTGTCTGGTACAGTCTATATCTAGTGGGTACCAAAATCTTTAACTAGCTACCTTTATAAAGGTTCATTTACAGAAATGTGTTATCATTTGATGGGCCGTTTCTTTGTATTAGTTGGCGTCTCATATTCTCAGTTATCTAGAATAACATGGGGCAGAGACACCAGAAAATCCATTGCAAGACCCTATGTTCAAGGCACTGAACAGCAACGGTTTTAAATTTTGTCGAATGATGTGTTTTATTGCTAAAACTTTGTTGCAGAAAGATAAAAAAATACAAGTGATATAAATGGATTTGCAAATTCCAAAAATTGGACTAAGATTCAAGAACATCTTAAGAATATTAGTTGAAATTATGTCAACACTGCCATAAATACATAAAACTTAGAAGTCTGAGCCAGAAAAAGGATTAAGATTGAGGAAAAGAGTGGATGGTAACCACCAAGGAATACTGGGGAACCACGGCTTCTAGACCTTCACACTGCATGGTCACGATGGGCACCACGTCTGAGCGGAACATCCTGACAGGGACACACAATTTCTTGCCTTTGTTCTCCAGGTGGCCTATGGCTGGTAAATGCCAACATATCCTTCCACTCACGCTGTCAGTTTCTCCTACTTTATTAACGCAGGTCTAGAGCCTTGCACTCACAAGTCTAGCATCCAAAGTGTCCTGAAAAACGGACTTCGCTTCAGTCTTGCATGGCAGATGAACTGAATATTACCTGGCATGAAGAAAGTTAGTGTGTCTATCTATGCTGGTATTTAGAAAAACTACCACTTTGCTGTAGAAGTGGTCAAGCATTTGCCTAAGCAGAACTATTCGAGGCCCCACTTACACAGATTTGCAGCAACCAGGCACTCAAAAATATATTTTCTCCAGTCTGAATGGCAATATTCAAAATTCTAAGAAATAACGATTTTTCACTAACAATAAATTTTATATTTGAATTTTAAGCCCAAACAAAACTATAGTCCTAGAAATCAGGGCTGAGACCTAAGTTCCTTGGAATCCAGTTGAAGTGTGCACCTGCACAATGCAGAAGAGTATTGCATTTATGTATGGACAGCCACCTACCTTCCCAGAGTCCCTTGTGAGAGCTTAGTGTAATAAAGTGGAAAGCTAGAATTTCAGCCATTATTATAAAATTTCACTTTTCTAACCCAGACTGTTTAACCTAACCCCTTAAGGGGACAAATTTTCAAAGAGTTTAATAAAATGTTGTATTAAATACACCACACAGAATAAACCTGCACTGCAGATTTGTCTAGTGACTCAAATTCCTATATCCTATTGTTTTGAGTCATAATTGCAACAGTAAATTCCATGGGACCTATCAGAGTGAGTCCCGGAATGCCTTGTATTTCTATAGCCTTGAGCTCCTAATGATAGCCACAGATATTTACAAGGTAATCTCAGTGACCTCCAAGAGTAATGCTAGGAAGGGGGTAAAAATAAGAAATCCGCTGATGACAGCTAGGTGGTAACGGGTCTCCCTTTGTTAAATGTTCACAGCACCTGTGTAATGATATCCCACAGTTCTGAGATTAGCTCATTGTTAGTACCTTTAAACAATGTTTTTCAGAAATGCACAAGAAAGTGAAGAACAAGCTAGAGAATAAGTGGCTTGAGTCTAACTAACATCTAACATAATACAAAACTTAATTCACAGAAGTCTTCTGATATGTATTAGCTGAAAGAATGATTACATAAATGAATGAAGTCTGGTCCTCTTGCCACTCACCATCACCCTGCTCCATGTAAGTGAAAGCTGGTAACTTATTTAAATGACAGTGCATGACACATACTTTATTAAATCTCACAGGCCTACTTATGTTCATCAGTTTTGTAACTTGTACAACATTCCAAACTTTATAATTAAAGACAAAAGACTTCCTCCCAAGGTCAAGATTTCAGTTCCCAAGTCCTTATTAACACAAGTCTGAGTGTGTTTTTCTGGTTGTAGTTTCGTTTGTTGGTTGATTACTTGCATATAATTGTTTCTTAGGAATGTTGATTTTTTTCAGTACTTTCAATCTTCTCCCTCTAAAGAACCCTTCCTTCTGAGATACTTCTTTCATACAGAGGATTCCCTTCTTTCTGGATTCTGTTCATTCTTTTAGAACACACCTCCTTTGATCTTCATCTTTAACAAGTCAACGTATTCTATTTCTACTCATATTGAATATCAGTTCCATTTCCCATCTAAGGAAATTTTCATGAATGAAAAATGATTGCATTAATAATTTGAACTACTATGATATAGATGAGTATGGAGCTATGCAACATGATCCATTTAGCACAGCCGCATTTTAGCATGCAGCTATAGCTTCCAATGTTGAAATACTTGCAATTCTCCAGCTGGATAACTCTATACCCCAAACCCTTGAGTTCATCAAATCCCTCCCAAGATCAAAACTCCTGAAACTGATGAAAAGCAGGATACACACACAATTATTGTTCCTTAAATGTAAGCTTTTTTGTAAGTGAGATCCGTGTCTTGTTGCTATTGTTTCAATTTGATAACTATTAAGCATTGGTTATCCTTATATCACAATGTGACCATTGCAGTGAGAAATGGTTTGGGAAGGTTCAAAGATACACAAATGAACAAGAAGAAGTCGAAAATTGTGCAGTACTGTTAGCTTTCAGACTCATACTATGTTAAATATGCTCTTTTTTTCATTCATCCCTTAATGAATATATTGCCTCAAGTAAATGCCATGAGTTTCCTGAAGATTCTTTACCATCATTGCTAGTAAAACTCTTACACTAGATGAAGATGTGCAAGGCTCCATAAAAGACATAGTCCTATTTGGTGGTGGAAAGTCTCTTAATGGAGACAAAACAAACAAAAGCAGGAGGGTTAGCTCATTTAAGTCACACCAGACACAAGTGAAGACAGGTGAAGACACACATCTGGGGTTAACATTACAGTAAGGACCATTTCATCATCTCAAACCACAGACATTGTTTCTTTTATGTGAACCAGGAAAGAAACTATAGGAGCAAATATAACTACACGTAAATAGATGATCCATCAGAAATTCACCAAACATACATTTTAAGTACTCAAATCATAATCAAAACAGTGGCAGTGAATATACTTTGTTTTGAGAATGTGTGCATTCTCCAAACATCCCCAGCTACATGAAACTTCAAAGCCATCCAGAGCAACAGAAAGCTCAACTTCACCGGCAGAACAAGGGAAATACTTATTCTTCTATTTTGGTTTACAAAGTAGCACTATCAAGGCATACAAGAAGTAAAGATATGTAGAGATCCACAGTCTATGATTAACGGTCTGATAGAAAAAAGGATTGCCTTCATTAAGCACCAAACTACATCCAAATTGCTGTAGCCTGCCAAAATTCTACAAGGATTAAACTTCTGCTTAGATACACATCACAACTTTCTATTGTTGAGACTTAACAGAAATCAATGACTAATTAAGAGTCTTTTTCTCTAAACAGATACCTCCCTGAATGATTTTATCAGTAGTAGAAATTGGATGGAAATGTCTGAGCTAAATATTTTCATGTCTACAGTATCTGAAGACTACAATTAATTAGCAGAGGATTAGTTTTATCTATTTGGTGATTCAGTTGCAGCTTTAAGAAGATGCATTTAGGGGCAATCAGTCTAAATCTCCCACACAAGAGCTATAACTTAGAATACACAAACAGAACCAGTAGCTATAAGGCAGAGATAGCATTCTCCTGGAGCCCAGCCAGCTGTTGAAAGAATACAGGTCATTGTTTGCTGCTGAGGGTGAAAAATCATTAGGAGATTACTTACAGAGTTATTACTTATTTGTGATGCACTTTAAAAGAAAAAGGGGGGAAAAAAGCACAAAGATATCATGTGACTACCAAGATGTATAACTTCGAAAGACATCCCCCATTGACTGGTCCACTGAGAAACATTCATTGGTCAGCAAATGGTATATACATATTTTCTGTGAATG